AAGTGTGACAGCACAAAAGTTGAAGGTCAGAATCAATTACCGTATATCGGAAGTTACAGTAGGTACTTCTCAAAGGTTTATGTGTATGTAGCAAAAATAGCAAATAAAAGCAGAATAATTTTCCTGCTAAAATTATGTTTATACTATAAGCTTATCAGTGTTGTAACACCGCGGAGGCGTGGCTTGCTTGAAAAGTTTCCTATATCGTTGGAAATAAGGGGACGATGCGAATATGCATGAAAATCTCAAGAAACGACTGAAGTAGTTATGGAATTTCCAAGCAGTGATTCAGTTTCAGTATTCAGGGTTGTACGTACCAAACATTTGCATATAATTTCATTCACAAAATTTACTAATGAAATTAATAATTATTTTCGTCTCTACACCAGGAATCCCCTCTCAACGACTAATATCTTTGTGCAAGCATCAGTCTGGAAAGAATGAAATTCAACCTCCACGGTAGTGACAGAAACCGCAGCTTAGTTCACTTCTATTGACTTTTAAACGCCCCAACTTAAACTTGCATTAGTCATGCTGGTGTTGCCTTATAACCCGGTATAATGACTCGCATTGGTCATTCTCTGCGGCACGCTTGATGAAAACCTAAGAACATATGATTGGCGATTGGGATTCTCAACGACGCATCCCTGGTATCAAAAAAGTCCTACAATCCAGAAGTGAATCGCTATCACTTATCTAAATCGTGCGAGCGCGGTCGAGCATACGATAAGGAAGAGATTAATAAGAAAATAACTAGAATAAAGAGCAGCAGTTTCATCGTAACAAGAAAACATAAGCGGTAGACCAGGAAAACAACGTTAGCTGGGAACACACAAGCTGAAGCCGAAAAACGTTGTCTTTAAGTGGTACTCAGGTAACATATAGATAACGATACAGGCTTAACTACATAACATGATTTCTGAGCTACATTTCAATCCTGTATTTCTTCTCCACTAAATCATCAGTTCACTAGTGCTAAGCAAAAGCAAAAAGGCAGGTGGTAAATTCTTTATTAGAAATGCCGAAGTTTCGGCCAAACAGCATTGGCTGTCGTTGTTTCCCCTGCTGATTGCCAATACTGTTTGACTCAAATGATGGCCGTTATAATAAAGAATCTTCGTTATTGTCTAGAACCATCGAATTGATGATTTATGTAACAACGTTATAAATGCGCCTCGACTTACGATGGGACTACGTCCTCATCGTAAGTTTAAAATATCGTAATTCGAATATGAATATAATAAATAACTGCTGTCATTTAAAAAGGTAAACAAACGAATAATTCCTGTAACTAACTTGTAGTTGGAAAGTTTGAATCAACTGTTGGAAGATGATGTTTTGGAGGAGACTATGGCGACAGAGTCATGAATCACTTTTTCTTCTGATGATTCCCGCCCACGAATAGGTGCATGTTTCCTTGGGAAACTATGAAGTTCTGACTGGACAGTTTGTTTCTTCTTTTCATTAGCATCCTGTATTTGTCATAACAATTTATTAAATCTGTCATAATTATGATCATATTGTGACCGCATTATACGCTGCTAAATACTGTGCGAGACGCTTACACTCGCGATCGCCACAGAGACTAAGAGTGCATCGCTATCGCATCATCGAAAGATCTGTATATCATAAGTAGAACCATCATAAAGCGATAAGCATCTCTATTCTCGACAATCCAATTATGCAATTCTCCAAGATGGTACAATTACATAAGCAATACACAAGTTGGACATAATTCATAAGTACACTACTGTTCCAACATGAAAAACTTTACAATTTTGGATTCGCCAAATGAACCATTAGAAAGCTTACTAATTATAATTTCATATTGAAAAACAAGAAGTCAATGATCAACAGCTTGGACAAATCACCGAACAGAAATCAAAGGAAGAAAGATCACCCGAATAATGAAAACCGGTGTCATGGCTAAAAATCCGTAAAGAACGAGCCAACAAACCAATGCATAATTTCGAGGCATGCTTATTTCCGTTCTGAGCATCTGCAATATAATGACAAGTTGCAAGGATAGGCTCAAGCTGATGGTCTTCCTGTTCAGTGCACTGAGGTTTGGAGCCATAATTCAGCCACATTGAAACGTTACATGAGGGCCTGGAAGTGGTACGGGAGCCCTTTCTGATAAGTTGAGGCAGTGGTGCTGCCCACCATTAGCCAATTATAATTTTCTGCGACAAAGACCTCACAAAATATTTCATTTGGAAATGTCGTGAATCCGTTGGATGGGTGAAGGTCGATGAGACGTCTGCAGCAGTTCACCGGAGTTGGCACTCAGAACGAAATGTCGAACAGTCACTCGCTAAATAAACGCTTGAAGAAAAAAGGAAACCGGGAAAATAGGTGTAGGTTACTGCATCGGCCTGAACGACACCAACGACTTGGTAAACAACAGAATGCAATTAATGAGCAGATGCCGGGGTGACACCAGATATGAAATTTACTAGGTATATATTTACCGTGTCGGATCGTGTTCAATCAATCTTTAATGAATGTAAAATACCTTCCACTTTACATCATAATGCTAAAGTGTATGAAACAAATGTCTAAACTTTAAAAGATACTAGGGACCATTTCAACAGAGAGGAGAACTGTTCGAATTAAAATTAACTTAGATTTAAATAATAAATTATTGAAACGATGCTTTACGATAACAAATTATTTGAGATATCATTAGTTTGAAACTCAACGATGTCCAGCTCCTGCGAATCGATGAAATGCTCATACAGAATAATCAATGG